CTTGGTGGCAGTGGAGGTGGAGGAAGCCAGTAGAGCAATGATACACACTGGAACTGCAGTCACTGTCCTTCACAGTACAATGTGCGCCATGTCTGGTGTGAGCACCTGGAGGGACGGCAGTCCTTTTACTGAGATGAGCACGTGAGGGAAAGAGGAAACCATGGTGCGGGCTCAGACTGGCTGTGTCTGGGCTGCTTATGGAGCACAGTGTGGGAGTCTGAAGTCTAGGTTTTCATGGGGGGTTCTGCAGTGTTGTGGAATATTATTTTAACTATGTAAAGATGTGTTACCTTTGTTCATGCTGCGGAATATTACTTTAACCGTGTAGAGGTGAGCTACACTTGTTTATGCTGCCTTTGTTAATGATGTGAGGATGTGTTACATTTGTTTGTGCTGCATCTGTTTAATAATGTAAAGATGTGTTGCATTTGTTTCACCTTGCCTGCCTAAGGCCCCCGATTGCTCTAATAAAAAGCTGAATGGCCGATGGCTAGGCAGGAGAGGAATAGGCGGGGCTGGTCGGCAGCAAGATTAAGTAGGAGGAGAAATTTAGGCTCAAGAGAGGAGGAGAGAATGAGGGAGAAAGAGAGGAATGTGCCCGGGGGCCAGAAGCCAGGCTGACAGACAGACAGACAGACAGACACGAGAAGCAGGGAAAGGAGGACATACAGAAAGAAAGAAATGTTTAACAAACAAACCCGAGGCAAAACGTAGATGAAGAGAAACAGGTTAAGTTATAAGAGCTCGTGGGACAAGCATACGATAAAGCCGAGCATTCACAACTACTAAGTCTCCGTGTCACGATTTGGGAGCTGGTTGGTGCCCCACCCCCGCCCAAAGAAAGCCTGCTCCATGGCAGCTCTGCCAGAGACACGTTTGTGACAATCGCAGGAACGAAATCACCTATGCAGAGTGTAGAAGAGGAGTCGAGGACTAAATCCTGAGGGACACTGATGCTCAGTGGCTGAAGGCGGAGGCAGCCATCAGCAGGGTGAGAGGAGAATGCACAGAAGACGAGAGGAGAGAGATGCCAGCAAGGAGAGGAAGGGCAACAGTGAGAGCTCTGTGCGAGTATCTGGTCAGATGAAAACCGAGAAATGTCTCCTGGAGATGATGCCCCTCCCACTGCCTGTTTGTCACCGGCTAACCTGGACTCAGGGCCACTGTCAGGGCAGGTCTAGCATTAATTGGGCAGCACCAGACAGACAGATGGATAAGCTAATACGGGCTGACAGATGGACAGGCAAGTGATGCAGACACGAAACGAGAAGGCGGCCCACAGACAGGGCGGCTCTAGCCGGTGAGACAGGCATATGGGAGGGGCGGAGCCACCGAGGGCAGGCGCAAGACCCACGCAAAGCAGCCCCGCTCACCCCCGGGGCTCCCCGCTCACCCACGGTGCTCCCCGGCATGGGCCACACAAGCATCAAGGCGGAAGCTCCAGGCACACACGGGGTCCTGAGCCAGGATACACTCCGAGCAGCTCTGGAGACGGCCACAGTTGCTGGTGTTCACTTGGGTCACCTCGGTGTGGGAGCCCACCAGGAGCCAGCCCTACAGAAATGGAGCCAGGAGAGAAAACGTGTTACGGCTTCCAGGCCAGCTCATGAACTGGCCACGGACTCCGTTCTCCCCACCTGGCTCCTCAAATACCCAACTCACACGGTACAATTTCATGCTCTCAACCGGCTGTGGCTCTGGGAACAAGGCCAGATCTTCCAGGACACTGAGCTGAGCACCGATGCGCACAGCCCGGTGGATGTGTCCATCCTCTAGAAGGCAGGCAAGGGACAAGAAAATGGCGTAATTGGCACTGTGCCTGGGACTCAGATGCCAGTATGTCATAGAGGGCCTCTCTGTAGTGTGAGCATGCACTGTGCAGGCAACTCGCTTGATGCTTAAATATACCTGTCCCCAGGTAGAGCACATCATATTCTTTCCCTGAGAGGCTGGTCACCCTGTGGGCCACCACTCTGAGATAGGCTGTATCAGTAGTGACCAGCAGGGGGCGACCATCCGCTGGAAACACGGGCCTGTCCATGAGCGGGTGGTCTCTGATGAAGGTGAGGACCCGGTCGGGCAGGGAGAGTGAGGACCCAAACTGCTGGAGCTTCATGTTGTTGGTGATACACTAAAGGGAGACAGGTCTGGGTGACAGTGTTTCCCAGGGAACCGGAAGCGTTAGGGGTGTTTAGCCCAGCTCTTGCCCTTGGCGACAAGACCTGCCCCACCTCCTCACCTCTCCAGGTCTGGGCTGGGGCACCTCGTTGTCCATGACAGGTAGTCCCCTGTTGCAGTCATGTTTTAGCTCTCTAAAGGGACCGTTCAGCACTGCCCGGATATCTTGGGGTCGGAAGGCGCACACGGCTGAGATGGCAGCTCCTTCCCTGGAGGAGTCACAGATTGGAGCCAGGTATCTGGAGAGGGCTAGGTGACAGCAATTCTCATCCCTTATCAAATGAGATGATCCCCGAGAAATGCATGGGAGCCATGCAGCTGAGGGAGAGAGAGTCCACCTGCATTGACCACACCAACTCCACGGACCCCCCCCCCCCCGCCCCTCTCATCCGCCCCAGGACCCCCTCACCACTGAGAGGAAAAGATGCCGTAGAAGACGGGAGTCCCCCCTCTAGGCTGAGGTCGAAGCTCTGTCATATCCTGCAGGACCCCAGAGGCCCGGCCATGCTCAGCCCCTGGACACAGCAGGTCAGCCTTTAGAAATGTTGTCCATCTCTGCTGAAGGGTCTTCCGGCCTCCAAGGTCCCCCTGGGGTGACAAGAACATGGGGAACACTCTTCAGAAGACCAATATTGGGCAAAACATGTATAGACCAACCCTCTGGTTCCCTCCCTGACTTCACAGCACACATGGACAGGTGAGGAGGCAGACATACAGAAGTGGAAGAAGAGGCATATAGGCTGAGAAATTGGGGGTCATAAGATGCAGAGGTGGACAGGGTCACGATGATATGGACAGTGACAAAGTTAACTGAGTACTTACAAAGAACCGTGACCTCGTTTACTCCTTAAAACATTTACGGGTTAACTTTGGTTATTATGTAAAAAAAATTGTGTGTGTGTGTGTGTGTGTGTGTGTGTATGTGTGTGTGTGTGTGTGTTTCAAAGGTGCTAAAGAATACACTAGATCACAGGGGCAGGAAGTGGTGGGGCAGGACATGAACCTGAGTCCACCATTAGCTCCTGCTTTGAGCTTCTAATGTAAAACAACCTCCTGTGTAGACAGTGTGTCACAGGGGTAAACGTGGGGTAGAGACAGAGCCCTCTCGCTCACTTCCTTCAAGCTCCCCAGGAAAGAAGCCTAGGTGGAGAACAGCAGACAGAGGAGAAGACAGAAGGACAAACACCTGCGGATGACAGACAGCCAAGACAGAGATCTCACCGCACACACTCGGGCCACCCGCGGGACCTTGATACGCTCATAGGAGTCCAGCACTCGGGAGGTCTCCGTGAAGAAGAAGAGTATTTCATCGTCTCCAGCTTCATCCCCCCACTCGGCCGGGCTCAGGACCATCGCTGCCACAAAGGCTGGGGCTGAAGAAACCAATGACCTCAGATCTTCACAGACACCGCTTGGGGCTACCCGGGCTCCACCCGACCTGTGCCACAGGGGGACCCTGTCCCCCTCCTCACCATTAAGCCAGGATGGCAAGGTCTCTGTTCGAATCCAGTCCTCAGCACGACCCACGGCTCGGGAGATAATCGGCTCCGTCCCTAGGAAGTTTTTCACAGTGGCGGTGTAGAGGACGCCCCCTGCAGGGCGACAGGGGGGAGGTGGGCGGTCAGAGACGCACACCCGGAAGCAGAAGCGGTCACAGGCAGAGCATGGGACAAAGCAGAGCGGCCACACGCAGGACTGAGCACCCACCAAACGTCATCACAGGGGAACACCTGACTTATGGGAATGGGAATGGCCATGCTGGAGTAGGAAGCCCGCACTGAGGAACCGTCAGAAGGGCCCCGGTGTGACAGGCCCATAAAGGGCTCTCTAGTGGACATTTGGGTGTCACAGAGGTAACCTGGTGATAAGCGGGCTGTCCTGAGACTCCCCCAGAGGTGGCCTGTGCTTTGCGGCAAACCCCAAATCTTACTCAAGTTGTCCACTATGGAGCAGTCTGAGACCCTGTGTTCTTTCTGAACGTTGCTGGGTACACTACCCTGGAACAATTCACAAGTAAAGAACCCACTGGAGTGACTGGAGACCCGAGGACAGTGAAGGTTCTCTCAGGCCCAACCACTCTAACTGGGTAAAATCGGGGCATGTCCCAACACCCTGCATTTCAAACAAGCAGGAGTTACTATGATCAAAGTGGTGCAGGCCTCACTTGGGGAAATGCCAGCCCAGGTGATGAGAGGAAGCTTCACAGACAGTGAGGACAATGGGGGGGGGGGTCTTCCCCCTGTACTGAAATGGTTTCGAGCACTCTAGGAATCACAGTGGTAAGAGAACATAGAAACCACAAAGACTTGGTTCAGAAAAGTCAGACAGCTCTGTCACCATGAGTCACATGGGCAAGGGCTCAGACACAGGAGTAAGGAAGCGGCTGAGGGCAGGAGTCATGGCATCTGGAAGGTCTCAAGCACCACAGGCATTTTGGGAAAAGCCAGGTGTCAGGAGTCCACCAGCTACTGTGCACAAGGCACTGCCCTGAACACATCAGTGTCCCCACAGGCTCCCACTAGCGTGAGGAAGACGAGCATACGCTCAGGGACCAGGAGTCTTGAACTAGCAGATGGAGGTGGGCACAGAGGATGATCCAGCCATATCTACTTGGTATTGCGGCATCTTTTGAGGGGTGGCAGGGAAGTACCAGGACCCTGCATAAGCCAGGCAAGTGTTCTATCAACTGAGACATATCCCCAGCCCCACAAGCACCTCTTAAGAATAAATAAAGTTCGCCAGTTAAGCACTTCAAGGAGAAATTTAGGAAAGCAGTGAATAGAGGAGGCATATTCAGGCATAAGGACCATGACGGCTGACACCCGGAGAGGCAGAGGATTCTGGGCCAAGCAGGTGAGCAGAGGCAAGGCAAGAGGTGTGGAGATGTGCCCCGTTTGTGAAGTGTGCTCTGCCAGGCCAGGAAATGTAGTCTTTATCCCACAGAGACTGGAACTATGGAGAGTTAGTTTTTAATGGGGAGAGTCATATAATCAATGTGTGGTTTTTAAGAAAGTAATGAAGGCTGGAGGTGTGGCTCAATGTTAGAGTACTGGTCTAATCAAAGACGATGGTGGTGGTGGTGGTGGTGGTGGTGGTGGTGGTGGTGGTGGTGGTGAGGAGGAGGAGGAGGAGGACAACAGCGACATCAATGACAGTAGCTAGACTTGGTGGTGTGGACCTGGAATCCCAACAGTAGGAAGGTTGAGGCAAGAAGCTGACAAATTGAAGACCCAGCCTGAATCACAAAACAAGGAGCTGTCAAAAAAGAGGAGAAGAGCCAGGCAGGGTAGTGCACGCCTCTCGTCACAGCACTCTGGAAGCAAAGCCAGACAGATCTCTGTGAGTTCAAAGCCAGCCTGGTCCACACGGCAAGTTCTAGGACAGCCAGGGCTCCACAGAGAGACCCTGTTTCAGAAACGGAACAACAGTGATGGCTCAGCTGTGAAGAGCACTATCTGCTCTTACAGAGAACCCAGGCTTGGGTCCCAGCACCCACCTGGAGGCTCACAACCATCCTTGGATTCTAGACCCAGAGGATCCAACCCCTCCACTGGCCTCCCAAGTCCTGCAGGCGTGTGATACCCAGCCAAACACGCAAAAACACACATCCCCATAAAATGAAAATGGAAAGAGAGAGAGAAAAAGCCACTCCTACATTAAATGTTCTGTGTGATGTTTTTACTCATGAATTCATGAAAACAAGGTGATTTTCATATTTAAAAAAGAGGAGGCTGGAGAGATGGCTCAGAGGTTAAGAGCACTGCTTGCTCTTCCAAAGGTCCTGAGTTCAATTCCCAGCAACCACATGGTGGCTCACAACCATCTGTAATGAGATCTGGTGCCTTCTTCTGGCCTGTGGGGATATGTATAGACAGAACAATGTATACATAATAAATAAATAAATCTTTTAAAAAAAAAAAAAAAAAGGAGAGGAGGAGGGAGAGGAAGGGGAAATGGAAAATGGGAATACAGGAGAAAACCAAAGACGATAAAAGAGGAAGTGGAAGAGGAACAGCAACAAAGGACCATTCACACAGCTCGGGAAGAGTGGACGACCTGGGTAAGGCGGAGAGAATAAAGGGGACGGACTAAGAAGGTATTTCTAAGGCAGAGTGTGTTCGTAAGACCTGAGCACGAATTGAGATAAGAGAGTGAAAGAATAAACTAAGGTAATTTCCCTTATGGCTTATCAGCCATAACCAACCAGGCCAGGAAACAACAGGGGAGGACCCATGAAGACGGTGGCTGGAGAGGAAGGCCATTCACTCCCGGGCATGCTAAGGCAAAAGGGGCTTTCAGAAGAGAACGGGGATTCTAGAAGGCAATTAAGAAAGGTCCAGGAAACACAGCCAGGGTCAGCACCTGGGAGTCGCTGCACATCGTGCTCAGGTCCCAACAGAGACAACGCAAAGGAACTGAGCAGAAAGGTACACAGGTTAGGGTGCCCTGGGAACAGCGCCATTTAAAGGAGAGTGTTCTGCGGGCCGCTGAGAGGTCAGAGCAGAAAGCCAGGAGAAGCAAGGCAGGTACTTCAGCAAGGCTGGAAGGAGCCTGTGCTAGCCAGGGGAGGCAGGAGGGCAGTGTCACACAGAAGGAAGCACAGACATCCCAGGGCAACAGACGCTCTAGAAAACCCATGTTTTGTTAGCAGTGACCAGACACCCGCCTTGACACAATCCTCAATGCAGAGTGAAGCACAGCCAGGAGGCCTGGGAGATATGTGGGTTGAAAACCTCCTTGTGGGATGTGGGTGGGAAGGGGAGATGATCCCACCATTTGAGATTTCAAAAAGGGTTTCAGCATCAGAAGACTTCGGTTTGAACTCTGACTACTTACTAGATATTAGGATCCGGGGCAAACTGACTTTCCTAAATCCCAGATTCTTCAAATGCAGAACAGAGAGAAAGCCACCTCCCACTCAGAATAAATGCAGATGCTAGATGACGATCACAGAGCCCTAGCGAGAGTCTGGCACACGGTAGGCGTTCGGTACAATCAGTTACAGCTCCCCGTGACACTTTGGAGACATATGCTTGACTTGCCGCTAGGAGAGGAGGGCAGCTGCCAAATGACACCCCAGTCCCTTCCTGAGAGGTTTAGAAAACCCAACATCAGTCATCAGTCCCAGCAACAATGGGACCCCACACGAGCCAACTCTCTGTACTTGCAAGGGGGTCGGTGGAGAGAGAACCGATACAGAAAAGCTGACTGAAAAATGGTCGCTAGCCAGGCAGGGGTGACACTGCTTTTAATCCCAGCACTTGGGAGGCAGAGGCAGGTGGATCTCCGTGAGTTCAAGGTCAACCTAGTTTACAGAGCAAATTCCAGGACAGCTAGTTCCAGGGCTACATAGAGAATCCCCGTCTCAAAAAGAAAAAGAAAAATGGTTCCTAAGAACACCATACCTGAAAGGCTCTAAACCCAAAAATCTGGCAGAGGTTCTGCCATGGCTGTCCTGAGAATGGAGGATGAGAGAAGGAGACAATTGCACATATTTAGAGAGCATGTCTTTAGGGACCAAGGTGATAAATCATTAATGGACCACAGATAAGCACACAAAGGCCTGGCTGTCACTGGAGGCAAACGGTCCCAAACTGCTCTAAGGGATCAATACCCCAGAGAGCTAGCAACCCCAGAACCTGCAGTGCAGAGAACTGTCACTCAGCGTGGAACAGAAACTATCACTGACAGAGGAAGGGATGGACGCCTTGGGATGGAGCAGCGGGTGTCCAGGTGCTCTGGGAGAATCAAGGGGCTCACCACGGTCTCAAATAAACACAGACGGGACATCAACCACACAGGCATGAAGACCATGTCCACAGGAGGACGTACAATTACTACACATTCTAGATTCTCCAAGACTCTCAATTCCAATGCAACAGAACTACAACCTCAATGTAGTAAAATGTTCATAAATGGGAAAGTGTTTGGCTAATTAGTGCTGAATGGATCAATCAGCAAACATTCAAATACACATCCGGCCCAGTGGTGCATGCCAGGAAATCCCAACACTTAGGACGTTGAAGTTGGAGTATTAGGTACCCAGGTCAGTCTGGGCTACACCGTGAGACCTGCCTCAAGAGGCTGAGGGCAGGGCGTAGTGGTGCATGCCTTTAATCCCAGCACTTGGGAGGCAGAGGCCGGTGGATTTCAAGGCCAGCCTGGTCTATATAATGAGTTCCAGAACACCAGAGCTACACAGTCTTTAAAAACCCCAAAACCAAACCAAAACAAAAGAGCCTGAGAGCTGGAGGTGGAACTCAGCAGTAAGAGGCTTGCAAAGGCCCTGGGATCCAGCCTCAGCACCGAAACAAATGACACTAAAAGCTAAAAACATGCAAAAGAGAGTGAGGAGATGACCACGGCATCATGACCACAGTATTATGTAGACTTCAGTGAATACGCTGGTTGGAAAAAAAATACTGGGGACAATTCAGTCCTATTTTTATAAAACATGTTTAAATACATACATATACAGGAGCTGGGGGGATCACTCAGTGGGTAAGCACACTTTTGTGCAAGCATGAGGCCCTGAGTTCAGATCCCAGCCCCCACACAAAAAGCCAAGCATGATGTTATGCAAGCCTGTAGT